AGAGATAATTAGGAGAGAGAGTCTTGGAAAAGAAGAATTCAATTTGATTGGTCCATGAATTTCCACTTATTTACCTCTTTAATAATTATTAAAAGAAATAAATATTTATTTTACTCTCTAAGAAAATGACATGTGGTATTCTTTAATTGGCCTTCAAAAATATACACGTGGCATTCTTTAATTGGCCAACAATGTATATTAAATAATCAAATAATTAACTATTTAATTTAGGAATTAAAATTTGGTTAATTTCTCAAATAAAATAGAAAATTATTAAATTGATTTTGACATGGAATTTGACACTTGTCGCCATTTAATTGGCTCAAAATTTAATTGTCTACACATATATATTAAAATTATAAGTTTGATATGATATTAAATTTCAAACACAGAGTATTATATATATATATATATTTATGCATAAGATATTAAATTATAAGTTTGTTACTGGCATTATGTTTTAAAATTTGATCATTGGTTAAATTAAATAGAAGATAATGATTTCTTTGCAGATGAATCACTATATTGATTGCATAAAATGTAATAAATAACGTATTTTGTAGTTCTGAGGGAGCATGACCAATTAATTAGCTGAAAAATATTAAACTTACTATAAAAATTTCTTGTGGTTTTAAGAAATTTACTATGACAGTAAGATAAATTGATTTATTTGAATAATAATTGCTTAATCAAATAAAAAATATAGTATTATTTTAGAATAAATCATTTGAACACAAAGTTTTTACAATATAATTTTTTATATTTATGTAACTTTCATATATCATTTAGCGTAAAATATAACTATTAATTTTAATAATAACTATTATATGATATAATAAAAAATATAATTATTATTCAATTAATATAATAAGTAACGAATTTTGTCTTAATTAACCAAAAAAAATGTGCAAGAATATTTTTTATTATTAATGGGATATAGTGAATTAATGTAAGTATAATAATAATAATAATAATAATAATAATAATAATAATAATAATAATAATAATAATAATAATAATAATAATAATAATAATAATAATAATAATTATTATTATATAGTGTAACGGTTTTTGTTAAGAAAGTTACCATATTGCCCTCCTACTTAATTTACATCAATACACCAATATATTTTTATTTTTTTTTCTCTCCTCTATCATTTATTAGGACCAATATATTTTTATTTTTTTTTCTCTCCTCTATCTTTTATTAGGACTAAAGTTTAATGAGGTAAAATTAAATATGATCTATTTATTAGGTAAAATTTATTGCTTAGCTAACAATTATATATATATATATATATTTGTATATAGGGATGCGCTCCGATGAGAGTAGTGCTTAATTAAAAAAATAAGAATACATCTTAGCTATGGGATCGGATGATCTAATGAATAGAAAAAAGTCAAGATTTTACACTCATTAAGGTAATTCAGACATTATAATTACACATCCAACTATTCCATGTCACATCTGGACCCACGTCACATCACCCTCCACCTACCCACTTGAAATGAGATTCTTTCCTTTCCTCTTGCCTAAACACACACAAAACACACCCACCCACACACACAACACACACACACACACACATACACACACACACACACACACACACACTTTTATGTCACACACACACTTTGCTGTCACACACACATAAAAAAACACACACATACACACATATCCACACATAGAGGCTTACACAAATACACACACTTTTTGAACGCATACCTAGCCCTCCCCATGGCGTCGCGCAGGACCTGCGTCGCCATCGACGCCTGAGAACACCCGCGTCGCCGTTGCTGCCTGAGAACACCCCCGTCGCCGCTGCTGTCTGAGAACACCTGAGTTTCCACCACCGGTGAACACCTGAGTTGCCCCCGCCTCCGATTTGCAGATAGCCGCCATCTGTACCGTCAGTGGCTCTGTCGGGAAACATGACGGCACTGTTGGACTCGCCGCCGTCGCGCCTCCCTCACAACTGCGATTTCCAGATCGCTGTCGTCTATGCCGTCAGTGGCTCCGCCGGGAAACCTGACGGCACTGCCGGTGTCGCCACTTCCTCACAGCTGCTGACAAGAAAATAAACAATCACAAATTCAATCCACTGTGGATCTCGTAGGGAGTGGCACCGGGAAGTCGATTTCGCTGGTATAAGCGCGGGGCCGGAAGTCGATCGCCGGCTGACTGAGAACGGCACCGACGAGAATCATGAAATGATGACAGGAATTACATTTTGGACATGGATCTCATTTGAAAATCTGATATGTAGCAAGGACTTAATTGCAAATTCATGAATTTTACTTCTATTACAATTTAATCACTAAGTCAAATCTATAATTTATTAAAAAATTAATATTTGAAAGTTAATAATAATTAAAAAGCACATTAATACTAAGTAATTTGCACACAAATGTTAAGTAATTTGCACAATTTTTGCTGTCAGTTTAAACACATTAAAAAATGTGTGCAAT